TCACAAGATAGACCTGAACTGATGGGCAGTATCCAACTGCATGGAAAGCATTAGCCTAGAGCTATTAGGTATACTTTGTTTTGTGTTCTTGCTGAAGGAATTCTTGCTCAGTCAGCAATGAAATGTCCTTGTTTATAGATTCAGACACTCTGCTTCCAGGGAAGTAGCCCTATAACCCTGGTGATCAGTTTGCTATTTCCAATGTTACTAGTCACCTCGATTTTGATCCAAAAGTAACAATATTCTATGCTTTATTAATTGGGAGCTCCCTTGCAAAGTTACCTATTTTGTAACAATAATTTCATGTATAATTGGAAAAAACATTTCAGAAAACATCCTCATGAAGTAAGAAAGCATCGAGTGCTTATTAATTCCAGGCACTGAACTGATCATTTTATGTTATTTCTTTGGTCATGCCCAGTAACCAGGTAACTGGAATCATTTTATTCCTACTTTTAAAAAATGAGGGAATTCAAGTACAATCAGTAAGTAATCTGTGAAGCTCATACAACAGAGATGCATGACAGCTTAGCTTTGAACTTGGATTCCTGGTCCAGAGTCTGCTTCCTAATCAACACAAATGCAGAAAGTGTGGACATCTCAATCCTGATCTGCAGTTGGCCTCTGGGTCAGGGGTATCAGGATAGTGAATGTCTGACTGGAAACATTTTACATTAAGCTCCAAGTGTGTCCGGGCCTCTCCTGATTGTCCCTGGGAACACCTCTGAGTTACATTGCCAGGGAGAAAAGTCAAATTTAATTCCAGGTGGCTAAAGGTATATGATTTCATCAATTTCCATATACTTTAAGACATGTTAATTTATTGTGGATTTCTTTAAAAAACAAATTATTTTAGGACAAAAATCTCTAGAGAGTTGTCTTAGTCACTGTTCTATTGCTGGGAAGAGACACCATGACAAAGGCAATTCTTATAAAAGAAAGCATGTGATGGGGCCTGCTTACAGTTTCAAAGGCTTAGTCCATTATCGTCATGACAGAGAGCATGGCAGCACACAGGAGTGATCCATACGCAAAGAACAAGGGGAGAGGGAGGGGGTTGAAGGGGGGAGTAGGGGAGACTAGTCTTGGGCCTTTGAAACCTCAAAGCCCACCCCCAGTGACACACTTCTTCCAACAAGGGCACACCTACTCAACAAGGCCATACCTGTAAGAGCCTCTGGGGCCATTCTTATTCAAAGTACCACAGAAGTATTATAAATTGATGTTTAAACTTTCCCATAACTACCTCTTGGGTACAGTCTTTGCTTGAAATGGCAGCACTCTAACATCTAAGTCTGCATCTTCATGAATGTGTTTCCTATGTACATACTAAGAATGGGAATTTTACTCATTCAAAAAAGAGGATCCTTAGATGGGACCTCCATATTTTTCTCGCCATTTAGGGCATAAACAATACTTAGCTGTAAATCTTAGAGAAGTGTTAAATGATTTACAAAAGTTAATACACTTTTTTTTTCTTTCTGATGGAGCCATGAATCTTTGCCTTTGGTCTAGATATTCAGCCTAAATATACATGATGTCTTTCATCTGGGCGTTTGGAAGACCAAACGACCAACTTCATCATTATATCTTGAATCTCAGGACTTGCTTATGGCAGTAATTGTTAAGAAGCTGTCATCTGCTTACCTGACTAAGTCAGGATTGTAAACAAGATCCAATATTCCTGCCTGGGTACTGCTCATATCTGAATATTCACTCTCATATGCACAGGATATTTCTATATTCATTGTGGTTATTGTGGTTGCTATTTGGTAATTCACTTGAGAAATTGATGTATAGTTGCTTTGCTTCAAGGAACAAAAATTTTCCTTGGAAAGGGAACACCCAACTGGATTTTACCAAACTACAAAATGAGTTTATAAGCAAAACAATGTTGGGATCTAATTGCTTAAAATATACAATTTTCACTCCAAGCATGTAAAATGTTAAACCTACTGTAATGATCCTCATAAAATATGAGCCATTAAAAAATTCCATCAAAGAAAAAGTTTATTAAAAGGACTTTGTGAATAACAGTAGCAAAATCCTAATACTAACTATAGAAAAGGTCAAAAGATCAGGAGCTGCTAAGTTTTGGACACAAGGATCAGTGTCCTGTGAACCTACAGGAGAAAGTATGCTGCCAGAAAGGCAGGATGAACAAGTGCAGTCATGCTGAGATGCCCAGTGTGCTGGGGTACTCTGGTACAGCACACCATTATGCTGGAGAAGATCCCACTTGGGCCAGTGTGACCTGCAGATGACAACATTCTCTGATCCCCATCGAACGTGAACTGACTTTCATCAAGAAGGTCATATTTATAGCAGGATAAACCAGAAGTGTGAAACAAAATGGCTGCTTGAACAGTGTGAAATATGTTACAGAACAACTCTAAACGTGTGTTTGTTTGCTTCATTTGCAGGAACCATGGTTCTTCACTTCTGGGCTTGATCCAGAATAGACTGTGATGAGGAAAGAGGTCATCCTCTAGCTGTGCAGACGGTGGTCTCTGTGACACCCATCATCTCAAAGACATCCTCTCTCAAACCTCTAGACCTACATTGTGATATCCTGTCAGGACTTCCCAGCCCAGGCCGTGACTAGAGCAGAGCTGTTGAGAGTCAAGAAAAGGAATTCTATGCTGGGGGAAGTTCTAGGTTCTGTCTACAGACCTCAACTTCAAAGCTTCTGCTGAGATTTTTAGGTTGGCTTTTAACTGAGGCATAATTTCAGGAGTGTGCCTCAATGGATACCTTCCGCTGAGGAAGCAGGGAGAGGATTTCATCAAGACAGTGAATTCTAAAGAGAGAATTGGGGGGCTAGAACTTACCTATGTAGGTTCACTGGCAGCATGTGAGACCATACCCAAATGATTAAGTTCTCAATCTGTCAGTTTCCTTGTGTGGTTAGCTCTGGGTATGATAGTGATGTCTTATTGTAGCCTGTCATTTTTAAAGGGAAGTTTGTACACATTTATGAGATTACATTTTCTAAACCAAATGACTTTTTTTTTTTCTAATGCTTATATTCCAGCCTTTGTAAATCATTCTATTGTGTGAGTTAGATTCTACCTGGCTACTATTTAAAGCAGAAAAAAAAAAAAAAACCTCCTGAATAAGAAGCTAGCCAGGCTGAGCAAGGAGGCAGAAATCCTGCAGCCACGCTGCCTTAATTCCTCATGCAGTTTTTCTACACCAAAGCTTGTTTTTCAAATCGCAAACACAAAATAGAATGATTTGGAAGGAGAATCTGCTTTCATTGTTTCCTGTGTCCTGGGTTAAAACTCAGTTCTTGTGAAGACAAAGGCTTTGCTTGCTCAACTGGACTTGAGAGAAACATTGTTCCCAGCTTAATCACTGAACAAGATGGAGGCAGAGTCTCTGGGTGGAAAGTGTTCAGATGTGACAGGCTTGCCTTGCAGTCGGCTTGGTTTAGGAGGGTTTGCCAAACTGTCCCGAAGATGGCGCCACGTGCTCAGCTTTAGAAAAGCCTGCGTCCTTTAGGCTGGTGTGTGAAATCACCAACCTCCAAACTTAGCCACAGATCTACAGGGACTGTTGCCTGAAAATAACTAACATTCCACTGTTAAAGCCTAAAGATTAAACTAAATCACCCAAGAAATGACAAATGGTTGAATTATCTCTAAATTTTTCATTTGGTGGAGTGAGTACAGAAAAAAAGAAAATGCAGGAAATATTTCTTTGAGTTAATTCAATAGCAGGATCTGAGTGTCCCAAGCCACCTCTGACTTTGTTATTTCTGCTGTGTTCAATGTCAAAGGTATGATCGTGGGTCAAGTGGACTGAGCTAGAAACATGAATGACATCCTCAACATTTCCTTATTTTAACCTCTCTCATCAGTGATGCCACATCCAGTCAACCACACAATCCCTTCTATTCCAGGTCCTAAATGGCTCAGGTGTGTTTACACCTCTCCATTCTCGAAGCTACCAGCAATGTTGCCTATTCCCTGGTACAAGATGTGGGAATTGCTCCAATTGATCACACTTTGCTCCTCTCCATGGACTCCCTACTCTCCATCAAGAGTGGCCTTTCAAAAAAATATTCCTGATCATTAATCTCCCTACTGGTAATCCCTGGCTCCTTTAAATGCTCTCAGGTAAATGCAAACTCTATGTGACCTACAATACCTTTTGCAATATAGCTGCCCTCCATTTCCCCAGCGTCACATTGCCACACTAGTTCTCTTGTTCTTTAATTTAATCATGAGCCTGCTTTTCAACCACTGGTGCATCCATAGCAAGGCTGTATATTCTTAGTGTACCTGGCTATGCTTCAGCTATAGTTGCAACTCACTGCTGTCCTACACAGACAGTACCTAATCTCCATTTACCTGGCTCATGATGTGATGATTACATTTCAACATGAACATTATTCCTGCCTAGAAGACCCCCAGAGTACCTTAGAATCTCAATTTATGATTTCAAAGGGCCCTGCACTTTCCTTGTTTAAGAATTTGTCCCAACATGATTACTTGTTGGTTTCCCCTCTGATATATTATAAACTCTAGAGGTATAGGAAATGTCCTTGTATACCATTCTTTTTACAATCGTATTTATTTACTCTCTTAGGGCTTCTACTGCTGTGATGAAACACCATGACCTAACATCAAATTGGAGAGGAAAGGGTGTATTGGATTTACACTTCCATTCTGTAGCCCATCACTGAAGAAAGTGAAGACAGGAACTCAAACAGAACAGAAACCTGTAGGCAGGAACTGATGCAGAGGCCATGAAGGAGTGCTGCTTACTGGCTGGTTTCCCATGGCTTGCTAAGTCTGCTCTTATAGAACCTTGGACCACCAGCTCAGGGGTGGCCCCACCCACAGTGGTCTGAGCCCTTCGCCATCAATCACTAATTAAGAAAATGTCCTACAGATTGCCTAAAGACCCATCTTCTGGAGGCATTTTCTCAATTGAGTTTCCCTCCTCTCTGATGACTTTAGTTTGTGTCAAGACTGGCCAGCACATTTACCTTTTTGTGTGTATGCATATGCTTGTGTGTCTGGTACCCATGTGCAGGTCAGAGGGAAACCTTTAGGAATCTGTTTTCTCCTTCTATCCTGTAGGTCCTAGAGATCAAATTTAGGTCCTATCAGGTTTGTGAGCAAGTGCCTTTACCCATTGAGGGTTATCACTAGCTCACGCCACTCTTTTTGTTGATTTTTGTTCATTTTTGCTTTTCAAGACAGAGACTCACTGTGTAGCTCAGGCTAGCCTGGCCCAAACTGCCTTTGACTCTGCAGAGCTGAGGCTACCAACATGCCCGAATCCAGTGTCTTCACAGTGACCTTGTATCACTGTCAGGTTTCTGCCAGTCTTCCTGTGCATCTCCCACATCTCTCCACTGCAGCCTCCTTGCTCATTTCCTCTCAGTGCTTCCTCCAGCTTTGCCTCTTCTCCTTGAATTTGCCAGGCACAATCCTGGCCAAAGGCCTTTGTCCTATTACTTCTCCTTAAAAAGCACCTCCCCAGCCTTCTACGTGATCTCTCCCTCACCTGCTTTACATTCTCTATCCTAACATCATTTTCTCAGTAGACTCTTTTCTGACCTTGTCATCTGTATCTCCCTGTCCATTCCTATCTATCACTCTTCTTGCTTACATTTCCTCCTTAGTTCTTAGGATTATGTAGTATTGTTTTGTGGATTGTTATTGGTCCCTCTACTACAATGCAAGCCCAGTGAAAACAGGGCAATGTTCCTCTTTGTTGCTGCACTGGCATCTCTTGAGTAACACAAGGTAGTTCTGTGGAATCTTTCTACTATTCCCAACTGCTGATGCCATCAATTACTTATTTTATTTTATTGCAGGGAGTAGCACTAAACATTTGTAATTAATAGCTGCAGAGAATTCACATAATCCTGGAAAGTTTTTTCTCCTCTTTACTAATTTCCTATTTCTAGAACTCATCTTGTCTTTGGGGAGTGGGAGAGCAGGAAAGCTTGTAGGAACCAAAACTAAAAATAATTCTTCCCATGAAAATATCAAAGCATAAATTCCTGAGGCTCTTGAATCTCTCATTTCCAAAAATAAAAATTTCTGAAAACTAAGGTTGTTTGATTTGAGGGCAGAGCAGTGAGTCTTATTAAAAACATCATCCCTTAGATCCAGGGGCTGTGGTCTCTGATTGTCTGATGAGACACTCAGAAAAATTCGGATTCCCTAGTCATTTGGCCAGCTTTTATGTTAAAGCTAGTGCGGTTGTCTCTCAGTACAGCCAGCTTGATCATTTGGGTGGAAATGTGAGGCCGCTCAAGCCAGGCCAGCTGTGCAGTTACACAGAGCCCAATATCCAAGTGAAGAACTGGCAAAGAAGAACAAGGTTAAAGGACTGCAGACTGCAGTCTAAGTCTACAAAGCTGAAAGCCTACATTGAACAACACCCCGGAAAACAAGATTTAGCCTCACACTATGTAATGCTTACTCATGACTAATGACTTATCACAGAAGTTACAGGAGTGTAAGAGGAGCAAACAGATGTCAGGATCTGTAATTTCAAAGAAGTATCATACTGCAACTATAATTAAACACAATATCAATATGGGTATGTAAAATACTTTATAGGGAAAATCCAAGAATCACCACATATCATGTGAAGTAAAAGTGAAATGTCTATATTGAAATTTTATTCTTTTAACTATTACACAAGAAAAAACTTTACAGGCTCTATGGAATGTCATATGATGTTTTAGTATGTGTATTTGTTGTATAATATTTATATCAGGGCAAACATCTCTTTATACTTAGGAATTATTTGTGGTGGAAACATTCAAAATACTTTCAGTGATAAAAGGTAAGTTTATAAAATCCTGCAAGGAAGGAAGAAAATGTGATGTCATATTTGGTTGGAAGTGTAAGCAGAAGATTGCAAAGGCCAGCTTGTGGTATTTCATCATTGCACAATGGCACAATTTATCAATGAAAAAGAAGCAATGTGAGTAAAGAAAAAAAAGGAGGCTAAAGCAGTTGTTAATGAAGCTACTCTAGCAAAGGTTGGAATGTGGGAGACATCTGGGCAGCAAAGAGTCAGGGAAAGATTGAAGAAATAAGTGAGACAATGGGAATTGTCAGAGTTTAACAAAAAAAGAAAAGGAAATATACCTATTAATTACATTGAAATGGCAGCAAACTCACAGGAATGGAGGTAAGAAACCAATGTGGGAAATAGAAAAATAAAACCCTTTTTTCCAAAAGAATTCCCCACAGGGTTGGAGCAATATCTCGTTAGGTAAAGTGCTTGCTTTGCAAGCACAATGACCAGAGTATGAGCCTGGACTCACATAAGAAAAGATATAAGTGGTGGTGCCCACTTATATCCAGACTAGGGAAGCTGAGACAATGGCCATCTAGTTTATGTTCTTGGAAGGTTTCAGATCAGTGAGAGATCCTGTTTCAAAAAATAAACACAAGACACATAAACCAAGGAATGACACCCAAAGTTGTCTTCTGGTCTTATAATCATACATATGCACCTATGCACACAAAAAAGATCCCATGATTGGTAATGATCAGAATAAAAGGGTGAAAGTTCAGAAGTAAAATTAAAAATGGCCAATGAAATACACAACATTATACAAAGTTATTGCCTTCTTCATTTCACAGAACTGGCCCCTGGAACATATCAAGTGAATTATGTATTTAGAGAAAGAAAAGAGGACAAACAGAATGGAATGGAGCTTCTGGAAAAGAAGTGTTCCTTAAAAGTCTAGTGGAAATTCCACTCAGAAGTAGTCTAAATCATAGGACTAGAGTTACAACTCATGCCTGGGATGTCCACAGCCATTTATTTGGTCTTACAAGTGGTTTGCCTATTTTCATGGTGGTAGACTATAAATGAGGCCCAGACTTGGTCCAAAGACCAACTGACTGGAAGAAAGCAGTAAATCCTGGGGGGAAATCTGTCTGCCTGGCCTCGTGTGGAAATATTCCCTTTTGTATTATTAATCTCATAATAGAACCTGTAGTAAAATACTGACCCATCTACATAACATGGACTCCAACAGTGTCAATAAATAGCAATCAGGTGTTCCCAAAATAAACTCCACTGAATGTTACCATCTGTTCAACTGTACTAGGAATTAATGGATTAAAGGAAATTAATGTAGTTTTTTTTTCTACTAGAAGACATCTATGATCTGAGCATTGTCATGTGTTTCTGCCAACATCATGGTGTGCCAACATCACAACACTCTGTAATTCTTTTCCATTTCTCCTTATGGTTTATTTTCAATAAGCAGTCTTGCAGTAAGTGACCTTGCCTCATGACATAAAGTGCCCTTCTGAGACAAGAGCAGAATTGCTAGAAAACAGGTGCATCCCCCAAACTAAAGGGTGAATTTCTTAGCTTCTGGTAAGCTAAGATCCCTTTATTGTCCTCTGCATATCCTTATGGACCTTTGAGGTGAGGGGAGCCAAGGGAGACATGATGTACATGTTGCCTAGTTGTTATGCTTTAATAAAGTTCTTTCTCATGTCTTCTGCCAACATTTGTGAAATGTCAGTAGGCTAGCCTGGTAATTTGGAAATGGAAAAATCCCTATCCCTGACCGTTACTGCATAATCCCCTAGGGTCTCTGCTCCAAGGAATAACACTGTGCAAACTATTTTCCACATTTGCTTGATCCAGCAAATTCATCTTCCTATATAACAATTAAAAAAACTAAAAGTTTGCCACAAATGCCTTGGGAAACCCTAGTCTAAGAACACTATTGCAGGTCTGGGTGGGATGTGTGCTGGATTTAGAAAGGCCAGCCTTCTTCAAGATACTTTGCTGTGCACTGGTATGCTCCCCTCAATGCACACCTTCTAAATGAATCCTTTGGTAAAATGTGTCACTTCTAGAAGTCTCCTATTGAAATGCAGACATGATGCCTAGTGAGGAAATACAGGAATATATTAACCTCTTAACATAGAATACAGAACAGGAGATGGAATCATAGCTGAGCTCTGATGGAGTGTAGCAGGTGGGCTGTAGGTTAGGGAATGCTCCAAAACTAAACAGTGTCTGGGTAGAAGAGGCAGAGTAAAAACACCATGGAGATGAGCCCTCTTCTTCCTATCACCCTTCAAATGCAGTAATCTGGGCCAGGATTTGTGTTTTAAATGAATTGTAAAATGCCCGTCTTCATCCATATTAACCAATGTTCTTTGCCTGTTTAAATTGATTGTAATGTTTTTATTCTCACCAGTTGAGTAACTAAAGATTTGAATATTTGGGGATTTTTGTTTTTTTTTCCTTAGTTGATTGTTTTGCTTGCTTTCGAGACAGGTTTTCAGAAATCAGGTTGGCTTTGATTTCACTATGTAGCTGAGGATGACTTTGAACATCGGATCCTTCAGCCCCAACTCCTGAGTGCACATATTATAGAGTGTACCACATGCCTAGTTCTATGTAGTGCTGGGGCTCATGCATCCTAGGCAAACATTTAGCCAACCAAGCTGCAGGCCCAGCCCCTATATGGATTGGTTTTAATGGAGTCTCTGGTTTTCATGATCCTGGAAATAGAAGATAAACCGATGGACTATATTGCAAATACCTTTGTTCCTCAAGGCCACCTTTGGAAGAGCTATCACAGAGCAAGAAGACTGATAACTTCAGCACTGCGTTTCCTTGTCTCACTGGTGGTGTTCTTTTTAAATTATTATCATGGTTAAATATGCCTCTAATGTGGGAAGAGGGTGATGCTTCTGCCATGTGTACTTGTGGAGGTCGGAGGACAATGTTGTGGAGTTGGTTCTCTCCTTCCACCTTTATGTGGGTTCAGAGACCACATTCCATTCACCAAGCTTTGCAGCAGTTTCATTCACCTGTTGATCCATCTCACTGTAGACCCACTGCGGGGGGAGGGCTCTTACATTTTCAATTGTCTCATTTTATTGGTTC